CTATGTTGTGATCTCTGCTGTGAAGTAAAGATCGAAGCAGCCTGCTGGTGCCATCTGTGTGTGTGTGTCCATATACGTTTACAAATTAATGTCACCTAGATTCTCAGGTGTGTATGTTTGTGTGTGACCGACTACATGCGTGTATGAAATGCAATTCATTCATAGCTGAACGGTCTAGCTCGGGAACATGTAGCCAGTCAGTTTACAGGAAGGAGGTAAAGAATCTGGTTCACTGGACAATTAGGTTACAAAACCAGCTGCAAGATTCCATCACTTCAAGTTATGTCTATTTTGGGCCTTGGACTCTGTGTGTTGCACTGCCCCCAAGTGGCACGCTAGAGTCAGTTCCCAGACCTGTGATTATGTAAGACTTTGCAGCGAATGAGTCATCACTGGGTTGTATCAGTGAAAGTTTGTTGGCACAGATTGGAGACAGTAGTTGGATGGGCAGGCAGCGCCAGGGACAATGAAACGCAAAAGTGGGTATTTTCCCGTTGTTGTTTTTTTGGCTGGAATTGATCAGTGCAAGTGTTCACTCCTGAAAAGCTGCTGCAGTGATGCTGTTTATGGCAGGTGGAGGGTTCTAGAACTGCATTCATGTTACTGATACTGATATATTCATAAAGAAAAATCTGCAGAATATTATTGACATAATAATGTCAAGACCCTTCAGAGGTTAAGCGGATTAGACATATATTAATATAATAAAATATAATATAATATAACAAATAAATAATAAAATATATAATAAATAAATAAAAAATGTATTTATTTATTTGTTTAAATAAATAGCAATGTCAGTCAAAATAAGACCATTTTAAATGCAGATACTATATTATAATATATATATATATATATATATATATATATATATATATATATTAGGTTTTGCCAAATATTTATATTTAAGTACAATATGTAATATACAATATAATAATATTATTATTATTATTATAAATAATACCAATAGTCTAAAATAAAATCACATTTCAGTCAAAGGAGGACTATTTTAATTCTGTATTATATCATATTAATACACATATTAGTACTTAAAGGGATAGTTCACTTTGACATTAATTTTTGATATGTTTTAGCTTACCTCAAGGGCATCCAAGATGTAGGTGTCTTTGTTTCCGCAGTATTTTCAATTTTGAAATTTTTAGGTCAAACCGTTCTTGTCATATAATGGAAGTCTATGGGGTCCACCTCAAAGAGCATGGACAGAGAAGTCAAAATCAAACATGATTTAATGACTCGTAAATGTAAGTACACATTGATGGCCTAAGACACGAAACGAGCGGTTTCTGTGAGAAAACGAACAGTATTTATATGGTTTTTTATATGGACGTGGCTCTTGTAACCACAGCCACGTCCAAGTGATCTGAGGGCGCGGGCGCTTTGTGGCTAATACTGTTTGTTTTCTCACACAAACGGCTCGTTTCGAGTCTTAGGCCATCAATGTGTACTTACATTTATGAGACATTAAATCATGTTTAATTTGGACTTCTCTGTGCATGCTCTTTGAGGTGGTGACCATCGACCTGCATTATATGACTGGCACACAAGAACAGTTTGACCTAAAAATATCAAAATTGAAACTACTGTGGAAAAAAAGACACCTACATCTTGGATGCCCTTGAGGTGAGCTAAAACATACCAAAAATTCATTTCAAAGTGAACTATCCCTTTAACATGTATTCCAAGAAAGTATGCATTTTAGCTTGTTAATAATTGTTTTTTGCCATTTAAATATTTTGCACAACCTAACCGGATCAGATCCAGTAAGTTCTATTAATCTGGATCTGTTACTCAGTGGAAACAACATAGTATTGATTATAAAATTATATTTTTTTGGACTCAAAAAATAAATTGCTATTGTTTTCTTCAACTCTAAAGTTTTTCCTATATAGTTTAGGCAAGATGCAGATTATACTGAATATATATAATTTTCTCCCCTCTAAATCAGATCTCTTTCTCTGTCAGGCTTGTGCTAATAAGGCTACAGAGAGGCGGACAGCTCCTCAATAGGGTTCCAGTCTATCTAGTAGTTAGATGACTCAAGAGAGAGGAAAGGTGGGTGGAAGGGTTAAGCAGGGCACGTGAGCATTTTCCATTTGGCGGAACAAGATGCATAGCAGAGAAATACCAGCGGGAATGCAAACATATGTGGGTCTGGAGCCAGATTTTTATGGTCTCATCAAATTTATTACAGTAATAAATCCAGGATCGAAAATACAACAATGGCACCGTGATATAAAAAAAAAACAACAACACAAGGAAATGTGAGCATTATTGATGGTTGTGGTGGGGTAGCGGTTTGGAATGACTGATTGGTTACTGAATAAGAACAATGAATAAAAACAATTCTGAACTCAAGATATGGATTATACATAGTGGAACATTAATAGAGGCTTTTGACACAAAGAACATACAGAGATACTTTTTACAGCCTTGATATGGTTATTGCTACATATATTTGAATAGGAGGGATTAATTATTGCTGACTTCTGAACTGGAAGAGCAAACCATAGGAAAGAGAGGAACAGAGCAGCACCCCTCATCCTGAGAAACGGGCATTTAGAAATGACAAAAGACAGTTTACATAGGCTGTACAGCAGGTTTGGGAGCTTCGTCGTTTTCCAAATGACACAATATAGTGAGTCGTTATCTTGTAGACATATTGTCCTTAAAATATAGTCCCAGCCTTCTTTATTATTTACGATGTAGAAGTTAAACAGGTTGGTACATGACTTCTGTACAATCTTGGAAATGATGTCTGTCATTTGGCAGACATATCCAGCTCATAAGCCCTCCTTGTTGGATGAATCAATCAGTGCTTCCACTCTTCAACCCCGTTTCCCTTTCTAGGCATCTCTGCATCTCGTTCAGTTAAAAAGCATAAGGCCCAACATAGATGGTTAAGCGCAGGGCAGAACTGGTGTGGTAGCTCATGAGCGGGTTGACAGAAACCATCTCCAAATCCAGCACGTACTCTCTGGGGCCGTTCACGGCGCGGGCGAGAACAAGCATGGCACTGATGTTGTTGATTTGCTGAGGAAAGGCACATGACAGGAACAAGATCATTTCAAAACTAGGCAGTGTGAGATAAGTATTAGTCGTGATGGCACAAATCAACAATTCTTGATTTCATGGACCTTTTAATATTTATATATACACTACTATGTATTGATATAATTTTTAACTATATATATATTTTTCCTTTTATTTATTCAGCAAGGATGCACAAAAGTCACAGTAAAGACATTTATAATGTTCCAAAAGATTTCCATTTTAAATACTTTGTGGTTTACCATTTTACCATTTTACTTTAAATACCATTTTTAAGTTCTTATGAACTTTCTATTCATCAAATAATTCTGAAACATTCTCTCACAGTTCCCACAAGAATATTAAGCACAACTGTTTTCAACACTGATAATAATACATGTTTCTTGAGTAACAAATCAGGATATTACAATGATTTCTGGATCATATGACACTGAAGACTGGAGTAATGGTGCTGAAAATTCCAAAGGTCCCAAAACCTATAAATGGTACTGTGCATCAAAGATTATATTTTGCCAATGGGGTAAGAAATTAAATTTTCTTCAAGATATAAATCTAGTTTGTTTTAAGGGTGTTTAGATCATTGTACTGGAAAACACCAAATCAATATTCTTTCAGAATCTCCAGTAACTGAAAACTGAACATACCCTGATGTAAAAATCTCCATTATCATCTCCAGAACGGATGCGGAAGGTGTTATAGGCTCCAGGATAGACGCTGGTGGCCTGGATCTGAAAGATATCTGAGGGGACGGAGCGCTCGGACGTGATACTCATGTAGCGATGAACAATGGAGTAAGGCATGTCTCGACAGCTGGGCTTTGTGACAGGACACATACAGCGACTGCAATGAAGAGACACAAGTATATCAGTTAGGTTTCAGCACTAAACGAAAGTGAACTGAATAGATTTGAACTGATCTGCACTCAAATGAATCAACAAAATTGCACAGGACTGAATTTACTAAATTTGATTGTTTTTACTCACTAGGTCAGGTTTTGGCATGACTAATGACCGTGTTAGCCACAACTGTACCAAATTATAGAAGAATGTGTACCATATGTCCAGCAAATTGTCTCAAAATTTTGGATGCCATCCACTGAACCAGATATTTCTTCAGAAATGCCTGACCACCTGTTTTTTATTAAAAGCTTGTGGAACTTTGCAGATTATGTTGAAACCTGTTCAGGGGCACAGACTCAAGAACTGGCCCGAGATTTGGAAAAATAAACCAGGCGATATGAGAAACCATGTCAGGTATGTCTCAAATAGGCAGTAATGAAGAACAATAGACATTAAGGAAGAGAAATTCTAATGCGTGTCGTGAACTGAACAGCCTGCAAGTGCTTGTTGTATATATTCAAAATGTTAACTTACTTTTCGGATACTTGCACATAGGGTTCCTGACAGCTTTTGTTGTCTACACATTTGTGACCTCCATGAATGTTCACACAAGTCTGTCCATCAGAGCACTGATGAGCTCCTGTCTCACATTCGTTTATGTCTAGATTGAAAGAAAAAGCGGGGAAAAGAATGTCTCTTTTCTCCTATGAGCGAATTGGGAAGCAAAACGTTTAACAAGAGAGCGTTAAATTGAGGCGAACCTTGGCAGAGGCGTGTGCCCAAGAGCTGATAGCCATCAGGACAGACACAGGAGAATTTGCCGTGCTCATTAACACACTGATACTGGCACAGGTAACTGGAGTAGCTGCACTCGTCTATATCTGTAGACAGAGAAGGAATTTGATCAGTCGCTTCAGTTGTAAGTTGCATTAATATATTTCACAAATACTGTATGTGTATTTATTTTGGTTTGTGTTTGCTCCCAGCTTACCATTGCAGGCGAAGCCATCTGGACCCAGCTCATAACCCTGCTCACATCGACACAGGAACGTCCCATAAGTGTTATAACACCTCTGACTGCAGGGAGCCCCCATGCCACACTCATCAACATCTGAGTGCAACAGAATGACAAAGCAGACAGGATAATACATGAAAGCATTTGGCGCAAGGTAAGCAGTGAAGGATTGCAATCGGATCATTACGAAAAGAAATACTTTCTGAGATGGACTGGCCCTTTTTGACTAATAATTTTAAGTGGCTAAGCAAATCAAATCTCAGTTCATAATCATTTGTTTTAGGGATGGAAGGAAATGTTCTGTTTAATTTTGATGCACCCAATGAGATTTTATTAAGTTGAAATTTACCCTAGTATTTACTGATGCTTAATGCACACAGTTACACGTCTTGTGTTGAATAGCTCGCCAACGTGAGTTGCAGCACAAGAAAGTATAGTAGAAACGTTCGGCTGTTGTGTTCCTTAAACAAAAGTAGTTCATAAGCAACTAAAATAAAAATATATCATCCGATTCCCACACACATAGGCTAGAGCCACATGCTATTAGCAAACTGTACATTCCCATCACCAGGGAGGAGGAAAAACAGGTGAAAGCCTTTGTTACACGTCCTATTCTTCTTGTTTAAAAATTATTCTACAGAAATGTAGATGCAAATGTAAGGTTTGTTATTCTACAGACAAACAAACTATTAATAATAATTGCACCATAATAATTTGAAATTAAAAGACTTAAAAGTGTATTCTGGGCTGATCAATTAAAATCAAATGGATAAAATCAAGTCACGTTCTACTTTTTTTTTTGATGTTGAATAACTTGTTTCACTTATAAAAGTGCTGCAAACAGCTGTTCACACTGACTTTAATGACTCAATTTCTCGTTTTCCTCCATGCACAAAGTGCTCTTTTACTGGTTTATATTTTGGCTCTTACTTAAAGAAAACGAGGTGTAGGATGGAGTTGTGTAAGAATGTGGGTTTGGATTCTGAGTGCTTGTGTGTGTGTGTGTGTGTGTGTGTGGGGTGGGTTGGCCTATGACTCAGGGTATGGCAAAGCGGAGTGTGGGTGTAAGCGTGTGGGTTGGCTTACCAATACAGGAGCGATTGTTGCCAGCCAGCTGGAAACCAGGCTCACACTGGCAGGAGAATGAGCCAGGGACGTTAACACAGCGATGTTGACAGTAGCGGTACCGGCACTCGTCAATGTCTGAAAAGTATGAAAACATTCAATTAGATAACAAAAAAGAAAAATTAGATTCCTCATTGGTATGATTGGACAGACAATGACAGATCACCTCACCATTTTATGTGAGTTATAAGGCACAGTTCATTCAAACAGTGGTATCCACCATGAGAACAACTTTGTAAATTGAACTGATTATATTATAGTGTGTGGATACAAACTTCCTAAGGTTCCAAATAATTTACTTTTAAGTATTTTAAAGCTAATATTTATAGATATTTCTAAATATTACATATCAAGATAATATGTAGATAATCATAGATACTAAGTTAAGATCATATATAGATTTAAATTAGATAAGATCATATTAACTCTTGTCAAGCTAGTGATAACTTGGGGTACTGGAACCTAAAGGGAAGAACAAATGGTTCACATTTTGGTTTGTTCCTCACATTATTTTTTTTTATATGGCTTCAGAAGACTTGCAATGTACACAAGCTATAATACTCTTTAAAAAAATGTTAAAGGTGATTTGTTTAATTTCTGAAGCGTTTAGGCATAGCATACTTTACAAACAAAAAAATATGCTTGCGTACAGGCGAAAGTATGTCTAAAATATACTTGAATGTAATTTGTATTGAAACGTGTTTGTAATGCATTTATGTTTATAATTACACATTTGGAATTATGAAGTTACAATTTAGTACATTTTAAGTATAATAACTATACATTTGAACTATAGGCGTTATTAGAAAATGAATCAAGTATTTCACGTGTGCTTTAATACGTTAGTCGACACATCAAAATAAGTGTAATAAAAAGAATTATGAAGTTTTGAAGTGCTCTACAAGTGCACATTCAGGACAATGAAGCAAACTTATTTTTCACAATGGAAGGCTTGGAACGACATGAATAAATAGGGACAGATCTTTGTGATTTGCTTTATTTGGCGACGTGAACTCTGTTGTTGTATTGCTACAGAATTAGACAGGCGTTTCAGTTCTCACCGATGCATTCTGTGCCCACTTTACGATACCCATCCGGACACTGGCAGGTGAAGGAGCCTTCTGTATTGAAACACTGCTGACTGGGCTGGCAGTCGTGATTGTCCCGTTCACACTCATCCACATCTGTTTTTGTGAGACAATAATGGAAATTTATTATGGACATTTACTGTATCTCTGGTTCAGTTTTTATCTTTTCTTTGTCTTCTCAGTTTATGTCATTGGAGCTAGCATAACTATGGAATGTAGTTATTGCAACATTTATTGGTTTACTGCTCATGGGAAGTAAAAACTACATTGCGGTCTTGAGTAACGTTATCTGTATTTCCTTCCTCTTGACGATAGACAACAGCTGGGATGCCTCAGTGTTGGTAAATTATTCGGCCCCCTGCAGACCAGCCACCTGCCAAGACTTCAGAATGACTCGCACATGTTGTCTGGGCGCAAAAACTAGCTGACCATTTCCCCTGACCACCTGTTTCTGCCTGAGTCATTCAAGCGCTGTCAGTCAAAACTAAAACATTGCATGCAATAACCCCCACCAGCACCATCCCATTCACATAACTGATTTTGATCTGGACACACATGACTCTCTACAAAAGCAAGCTACCGATTACAAGAGCTGATTCCCACACACTTACAGAACATCTGACATCTGTTCTGAAAACACACACTCGTTTTCACACACTTACCCACGCAGCTGTCTCCCTGGGGCTCATAACCTGAAGGGCACAGGTTGAATGACTCGCTGGCCATGTTCTCAAGGCTGGGATGGACCTGGTTGGGTGGATCAGGGGCGGGGATGACCGAGGCAGAGCGAGGCAGGCACAGGTACCCGCCATAGTGGTTGAAGCACTTCATCTCTCCCTTACAGGCCTCTAGGATTGTCTCGCATTCATTTATATCTGCAGACAGGATAAGCAGGATTTACAGTCTGTTTGAATGCCATGACCATGGGTCACAACAAATTACTATTGAAACAGTCATTTTTCAGAATGTCAAATTATATTTAAATATATAATAATATACACTACATCTTATAATCATCAAAGTTGTGGCATTTATTTGACACTGTAAAAAATGTAATATTGTGAAATATAATTGCAATTGATGAATAGAAAGGTAAAAATAAATCTTTTGTACCATTAAATATATTTACTGTCACATGTGACTCATTTAATGTGTTCTTGCTGAATACAAGTAATAATTTATAAATAAATAAATAAATAAATAAATATCCTATCTGATCCCAAACTTTTGAACGGAAGACAGTCTATAAATACACATTAAACCATTAAATGTGTAATAACTAAGTAGGCTTATATGACGTATGTATCTTTCATATCCAAAAGTCTTAATCTGTGTGATTTAGCAAATGAAAAAAAAATACAAAAATATTTTTTTTTTATTTAAAGTGAAGAGAACTTATAAAAATATCCATAATCAGCATGAAAATGAATATGTTTTACCTTTGCAGTGCTGAGTCTGTGGATCCCAGTGATATCCATCTGTACATTTCTATAGAAAAACACATAAATTCGTTCATTAAATGTTATAGGTGATTATAATTCGAATAGTTACACCGTACAGTAGCCTATGTGTAATATAAGATATGAAGATGATTTTAAATGATGTAACATAGGTTATGATATGAAGATTTATTTAGAGAGAGAAAAGGGAGGGAGAGAGACAGGGGAAGGTTTCGTTCCTCCTTACCGTGTAGGTGTCAGTTTCTGTGGGTGGCTGTGAAATAGCGCGATGGAGAAACACAGAGATGCACGTACAAAAGACCAAAACACACCCGGGCCGCATCCTCACACACACACCTTCAACAGGCTCTGATGAGGACAGACACAAGAACACCTTCCAAGAGTGTTGGGATCAGACAGACGTGCACGCGCCCAGCGATGATGCTGCGATAAAGTTCACTGAAAGTTTAAACCTGTGGATGAGAAACAGCTTGAGAAAACTTCAGAAACAAACTTTCAAGTTTGAAAACATTTTAAGTGATACCGCTGTATTAATCATAACTAAAACTCTGTTTATTTATTTCGGCTTAATTTAACATCAGACTCTAATGTAATATCAGCACCTAAAAAGTGCTGGTGCTACTCCCTCTCTCAATGCACAGGACCGCTGACATTGCTTGATTACCAGACTCCCTCTAGTGGTTGTATTTAAAATGCAACAATTTTGGCAACTGATGGAAAATCAAATAGACCTGATCCTATTCTATTTAGCTGTGGGCCCTGTCAGGTGGACCGAAATATTAAGGCCTAGGCTCTTTATGTGTACAAAATTAATGTTGTAGAAGTCAGTGGCGTTGTTAGACAATGCTCTAATGGGGCACAGGTCCCCCATTGTTTGTCAGAGATAGCAACAGTAACTAAGGAGAGCGGGGCTTACCAATATGTCTATTAAATATAAATTCATATCTGAAAGAACGAGTCATTGTTATCACACACAATCAAAGACAGTAGGCCTAGGCCTAATACAGAACACAGCAATGTGTTTATTTTCTGTGCTACAGTGCTGCAGGCAGGGCGAAATTCAGGGGAAATTTGGATTTTTTGGACTTACATAGGCTATGTGCATTTTAAAGTGTTTGAAGTGGCAACAAATTGATAACAATGGCTTTAAAGTATGTTAGTAAGCAGCTGTAGCATAAATGATTTGTCAAACAAAATGAGGATAAATGTGGCAATGAATGATCCATACTAAAATTGTTATTAGCAACTCTAAACACACACACTCTACACACAAACATAAAATTACCCCACACACACACAGACATATAATATATATATATATATATATATATAGTGCAAAATTATATATATATAGAAATGGACTTTGAGTCTGTAATAAAGTTTTGATTGATTGATTGATATATATATATATAATATATATATATAAATTTGAACTACAGTATAAACAGAAATTGAAGGAGGTCAAAAAATTCTCAAAACTGAGTTGATTTCTAGGCTATGTGATCAATTTATGTTTTGTGTTTTCACACATGATCACTGGTTTCGTCAGTAAATGAGTGTGGCATGTAGAAGTCCATCTACAGAAGCCATTAATGAATAAAAAATACGATTTTTGTATTATTTTGTTTCATAGCCTACATCAACACGCGTGCAAACCACTGATCTATGTAGAATAGTGTATTTTTTCAGAATTAGTTTGATAAAGATATCTTGTTAGTCAGTCAATTAATCAATTTTCGAGGGATGTTGTTTTCATATAAGGAATTTCTAGAACAGTTTCAATTTCCTGTTTCTCCCAAAGAATTTTCAATAGTTATGGGTTCAATCCCATCAGGTGCTCTTGCTTTTATTGAGAGGAACTCATTCTCTTCTTCCAGTCTCTCTGAGTTTGGTCAATACTGCTGTTGGTAAAAAAAAACAACAACAACAACAAAAAAAAACACACACAAAAAAAAACACCAACACCCTGATGAAGGCCAGTGGGCCGATACGCGTTGGTGTTTTTTAATGGTTTAGCCCTCGATTATTTAATAAAGGCTTTTTTACTTTTGTAACCCTGAGTGCCTGGACTTGGATTTCTTTACAATGTTTATGAACTGCTGTTTGTAAATTGTGCTTTGCTTCTCCCAATAAAAACAATAATAGATCAGTCCGTTGCGTTCACTATTTCAGCAAGAAATTGTTAAAACAATTCATAAATGCTTCCCTGCAAAATCGCCATCACTAATATCCTTTTTGAAAAAGTTCAAAAGGGATATTTCCTCCAGTTGCTCTTTTTGTGACAACTCTAATGAAACTGTAGTTAGTTTATCTTTTTTGGGCATTGTCCATTTACGAAAATGTTTTTGCAGGATGTTTTAGGATTTATTAGGTCTGAAATCTATGAATGTGTGTTGTATTGGAAGGATGTGGATAGGTTTTGTTGATTATGATCACATGATAAATCTAAAAAAATGTCATTTTTACATAATTAATATGATCTTATTACTAGCAAAATTCCATATTCATAAATCCAAGAATCTTTTTCCGAGTCAAATTGTTGGTTTCGTTCGTTGAATTAACCAAATGACTCGTAAAAAGATTCGCTCATTCTGCTGAACGAGTTCGAACAGGAAGAGGAGTTCACGTGCGTCACAGAACAGAGCAAGCGACCATTTGAGCTTATATAAACTTAAACTTTGTTATTTATTTATTAAATGAGCGATCGTTTCGCTTGATAAGACCCGTACTCATCGTCTGGAATCGTTTAAAGCCCTTTGAACAGTTTGCAGTTTGTACTGAAAGTAGCGTTTGGACCTTGAACCGTTTGGTTCCCACTGAAGTGCATTATGGAGAAAAATCCTGGAATGTTTTCATCAAAAAACTTAATTTCTTTTTGACCGAAGAAAGAAAGACATGGACATCTTGGATGACATGGGGGTGAGTAAATTAACAGCAAACGTTTTTTTGAAAAGTGCACTTTAAATTGCGTTGCTTTTACAAGTGTTGATTGTTGTATTACTGCGTTGCAAATAGATAATTTCTATTACCCTATAATTTCATTTCTATTAAATACACTGACAAATAAAATAATTTGTTAAACTTAAACTAAAACTTCAGAATTACTGGGGCACATAGTTAGCTGGGTCACGTGGCCCAGTAAAAGGGGTCTAGCTGTGGTATGCTATGGCACTTAAAGTTGCAGTCCGCATTTTTCCCTCTTTGATCTCTGTTCGAAATCTGCAATTAAAGTGATTGCAGCATTATCAACTTTATGTGAGTTGTATTTCGACACTGCACAGCGCGAATGAACACAATGAGGAGAGTGTGCTGATTATTCTTTTTTGGAAGTATAACATAATAATTTTGACTGGAGAATGTAATCTGAACAAGTAACGTTAAGTAACATCCACTTTTGTTTTGGTTCGTACATTGCAGTACATCGCACTGATTAAATTGATAAATCACTTATCACGCAAAACTGTACTTTTTTTCTCAATTTGTTAATGCATTGCGTGACTACATGTATCCATGTATCCTTGTTTTCGCACGGGCTGGCCGCAGTCTCTTTTTCTGTTGCCAGCCACTCCGAAGTCCGAACAAAGTCTTTTGGATTTTACAGCGAGTGAATCTGTTGTCACTGGTGATTGTCGTTTGAACCTTTCTGGATCGGCCATCAAATTGATCAGTGTAATTATATCAAGTGCAGTGAGAAAAGGGCATAAATCTCCACCTCCAACATCTTGACACACAATATAGGTTATACTAGCCGAGACTCCTTCTTTAGATGTGACGTAATGACGCAAAGACATGCTCGAATCTCCCGCAGAAATCCATCAGAATTAAAAACATTATTACAAGCTTACCATTTTTGAATCGAGCTACAGCAAGCAGATAGTTTTGAACACTGGCTGGTTATGTATTTTGGATAATTATCCCAAAAAAGCTACAGACTGCAGCTTTAATGTTGATCAATGTTATTTACACAGTACTCCAAGGAACTTTAAAGAGTACCAATAAACATAAAAATAACTTATTGTTCATTTTGCTTTTAATACATTAATAAATGTTCATTTAGAGTTTTTTTTTAAATACTAATAGGCTATTACTAAATAATTCAATATTCTTCAGAGAGTCCAATCTAAAAGTATTTGTCATTTTGACTCAGTGTGACAAACCGCAAACCACTGGATGACGTGCAAATCTGCACATTCTATCTTGGTTGCATCAGCCTCCAGATAGAATTGTTGTGCTTTTCCTCCCAAACCACAAGAAATGATTCAAGCGATTTACAGTAGTCACCAGACAAGAAACACTTGCGACATCATACGCAAACACACTGAAATCCAAACTCTCTCACAAATCTTTTATCTGTGAATTACCCACTCCTATACTGGCCTATAT